AATGCCAGGTGCCGCTCGAGAACGTTCCAAGACCGACTCCACGCTGACGTTTCTTCTTCCCCTGGACCCTCCCCGGGGACAATCGCAGCTCCTGGGCCACGATGGTAAAGGCGGCCTATTACACAGCCTCACAGGGCCGATGCCCTGACGCTGTCTTTGTGTTGTTTCCTACACTTTACTGAAGTCCAAACCATTATTTTTGCCAAAAGAACCTCAGAACCTGAGCTCGAGGCACTGACGTTTCCCTGAGCACCGTCGTCCACCCCCTTCGCTTTGTGCTCCTGCTGACGGTGTTCCCGGCCTGGCTCTCCCGGGCAGTTACCGTCACCAAAGCCAAGTTCACGCCCACGGCTGCGAACATTTCCCACAGTAACAGCACAGCCGGGCGCACGGGCCGCACGAGGCTGTTTTCAATGCGAAACGTACCTTTTGACCTCCTGGGGCTTCCACTGTGTGATGCTCCTTCAGTTTCTGCTCTTGCTCCAGAATGTCCTTCAGGTGTTCGTTCACCTTAAACACAGAAGCACCGGCGTGAAGGTCCGTCCCCCGTAGAACAGGAGGAGCATGCGCCCCACACTCCTGTGGCCAGACCCGTGTGTCCCACGGCAGCCCCACTCACAGAACATTCCTTTCCCAACCGGAGGCAGCGCCGGACAGGGGCTGCATCCGCGCACGAGGGTGAGCTCACTGACTCACTGGATGCTGCCGGACACCCGGGCGGGCGGGGCGGGCGAGCTGGGGACAGGGCACAGGAGCCTCAGCTTTAAGGCTCAGGAGCAATAACACTTCTGTTTCGTCAACATTTTACACTCTCTCCCGGCCGGCGTGGCTCCGTGGTGGGGCGCTGACCTACAAACCAGGAGGTCACCTTTTCGACTCCCGGTCAGGGCACAGGCCCGGGTTGGGGGCTGATCCCCAATGTGGGGCGTGCAGGAGGCAGCTGATCCATGACTCTCTCTCATCACTGATGTTTCTTCTCCCTCTCCCTTCCTCTTTGAAAAAACAAAAAAAAGAAGAAAAAGACATTAAAAAAAAGGGGGAGGGGTGTGGGAACTTTTAACCAGATTGCCCAACCTGAGCTTTCGCTTTGACTTCAAACAGAAAGGGTAATGGAGTGTGTGTCTGCTCAGGCGACGTCAGCAAGACCACAGACGGCAGCTGGGGAACAGCAGGAACGTGTCCCTCACGGCTGGAGGCTGGAGGCTGGAGGCCAAGGTCTCGCGGGGGCGGGTATGGTGTCTGGTGAGAGCCAGCGTCTGGCCATTTTCTCCGGGACCTCACATGCCCAGGAGGCAGGGAGCTCTGGGGTCACCTCCCCACGCCTCACCTCCTGACACCACACAGATCTGGGGCACACACCCTCCGTTGCAGCAGAGCGGCAGCGTCTGAATGAGGACCCGCCTTCCTGCCATGGGAGTGTCGCGGCCCCGCGAGTGCACCCACCTTATTTATCCAGTACATGACGGCGTCCTCGATGTCGTAGGGCAGGTCGGTGGCCTGAAAGAAGGCGGAGTACCGCTGGGCGCACGCGATGACCTTCTCCACGCTGACCATCTCCGCCGTGTAGGCCATCATCAGGGTGTCTATCATCGCCAGGTGGGCGCTCTGAAACGGAGGCGGGGACGCAGCTGAGCCACCCGCGTTCTGGCTGACTTTCTGAAACGCGGGTGCCGCCTCCTAAGGAGCAGGCGCAGAAGGGAGGCCACGGGAGGCGGGACTCTGAGGAAGCACACAGGGCACACGCGGGCGGGGAGGGGCGGACGCAGACAGCACGTGGTCAGCTCCTGGCGAGGCCCCGGCTTCGGGACACCGTCTTTACCCCGAGGCGGCCCTGCTCCTGTCTGTGATCACGTCGTAACTGCTACTCAGCAATGCGATGTACAGGCTGCAGCGTCACCTCCACTGCTCCTGGCTCACGCATGACATCCACGCACAACTCTGTAGAGCCCTCCTCTAAAGCGGCGGCCACCACCTGGTGGTCTGCGGACCTCTGTCCCGTCTCCCCTCCCGCCTCCGTCGGGCACATTCCAGTCCAGCCCTCCACACGCCTCCCACCTGAAGGCAAGGCCTCCACTTGAACCTCCTGCTCCAGCTCCGCCCCCTGCTCATCCACGCAGGACTCCGTCTCCCCTGTGGCCTCCTGCTGTTGTTTTATGTTTTTACATACATAGTGGCCGTATACTTACCATTACACTTTTGCTACCAGCACACAACTAGCCTCCCAAACTGGAGGCAGCATACAGAAATAAAAGATCCCCAAATTACGGTAATTTATTTTTAATTTTTAATTTTTTTAAAAAACAATTGTTTTTATTGATTTCAGAGAGGAAGGGAGAGGGAGAGATAGAAACATCAATGATGAGAGAGCAGCATTGATCGGCTGCTCCTGCACGCCCCCCACTGGGGATCGAGCCCGCCACCCAGGCCTGTGACCTCGAATGAAACTGGAACCAAGACCCTTCAATCCACCGGGTGGTGTGCTATCCACTGAGCAACACCGGCCAGGGCCAAGTTAGGTCGTGCAGAGTGGAAGGCGGGCGTCCACCCGTCCAGCACCGAGCACTACCCCACACGCTTCCTACAAAGCAGGACAAGAGGCCTGACGCTCATCGCCCTGTCGCTAAACCCACACAGCAGGGTCCTCAGGGGCAGCGCTCTCACTAGGACTCTGACCTGCTCACCGAGATTTCAGAAAAATAGTGACACAGTCAATCACACGTCCACAGCGACTGGAAGCCTTTAAATCTAATGGTGACAAAACTGAAGGCAGCACACGGGAGCCTGCGAAGGGCTGCGGGCAGGGTCACCGGTACATCCCTGCCGCGTCCCTGCGGCCAGGGAGAGATGCGCCCCCAGCCGTCAGCAGGGGCAGCGCGAGAAACGGCAGCCCTGCGTCAGCGTCTCCACCCACACACCCACACCCACACACTCACACACGTTCTGACTTACACACTCACACACACACACACACAGCCACTCACACCCACTCCCCACACTCCCACTCACCCACACTCACCCCCCACACACCAATACACACCCACTCACACACATACACTCCCCACACATTCTGACACACACACACACTCACACACCAATACACACCACTCGCACACTCCCCCCACCCACAAACTCCCACACCCACACTCACCCACCCCACACACTTTGACTCACACACACACACACACACTCTGACACACATACACTCAGTCACACACACACACACACACTCACACACACACACTCTGACACACATACACTCACAGTCACACACACACACTGACACACACACACACACACACACTCTGACACATACACTCAGTCACACACACACACACACACTCACACACACACACTCTGACACACATACACTCACAGTCACACACACACACTGACACACACACACACACACACACTCTGACACATACACTCAGTCACACACACACACACACACTCACACACACACACTCTGACACACATACACTCAGTCACACACACACACACTGACACACACACACTCTGACACACACACCCTGACACACGCATTCACACACACACTCTGACACACACACTGACACACACACACACTCTGATGCACACACACACACTCTGACACACACACACACACACACACTGCGCTAGGAAACAACGTGGAAAATACAGGTGCTTCACCTGCTTGAGCGATAACGGCTACGTTGCCATCGGTGTGCGTGGGCAGCGGCTCAGCAGACACGGACCCCCAGCCGTGGGGACCTGGGACCGTGCACTCGGCCTGCAGACCGCGGACACGCACAGTGGGGGCAGCACCTGGCAGGGGCCCTCCAGAGGGGACGTCAGACGGGAACTGCTCCCGTGCTGCAAGCTGCTCGCAGGTGACGTGCCCGCAGAGCAGGCCCCCAAACTCAGTGAGCACGGGAACCTGCAGCCACCTCGGAGCTGAAACCCTTCCCCACCGTCCTGACAACTCAGCTGCCCCTGTAAGCAAATGACCCGCTGGCTCTTCCATTACCTCCTCCCTTAAAAGTAATACAATGGGTTCGTAAGAAGAAGAAAAAGGCAGAAAGCAAAGTAGGTCACAACCTCATTTAGTGCCAGATGGTGAACTGATTTGGCCCATCCTGCTTCAAGCTCATAATTTCTTGCTTTTTCCTTTAACTTCGTACATTTCTTCCTCTGTCCTCCTACAAACATCTCCCCTGCCTCCGAGTGAGGCCGTCTCATGGAGGAGCGTGACTTCCTCAAACGTGTGGCCGTTTTCCTCCCAACACCATTTCGATGACGCCCAGCGTTCTGTAAACCAAGCTAAAGGGGCGGCAGCCTGGCTGTAGCTCAGTGGTCGACCTATGAACCAGGAGCTCAGGGTTCGATTCCCCGTCAGGGCACAGGCCCGGGTTGCAGGCTCCATCCCCAGTGTGGGCGTGCAGGAGGCAGCCGGTCCATGATTCTCTCTCATCGTTGATGTTTCTCTCTCTCTCCCTCTCCCTTCCTCTGAAATCAATGAAAATACCTATTAAAGGGGACAGCACTCTCTGACCTGAACACGGGCCTTGTCTCAGGGACTGCGGGGTCCTGCCTGCTTGGCCCAGGCCAGCTGTGTCCTTCCCGCGTGTTTCCACGGAAGAACTCACGCTTAGTAACTACACTGACACGTGTGACAGGCAGAGACGCGTCAGGAGGTCACTCGGGCACGCGCACGGACACTGACACATTCACACGCGAGCCGCCCCCCGGCCCGGCCCCGCGGAGCTCACCATCCAGATGGGCTTCCTCTGCAGGTCCCGCTCGGTCACCAGCCGCTCCTGGTCGGTGACGTAGAGCCCCTTCTGCGCCAAGGCCTGCACCACGGCGTCGTGGCCCACCAGCGGCTTGGCGGCGTCGCTCTTGAGGATGAGGCTGCCCGCCCGGCAGTACAGCTCGGCCGACAGCAGCAGGTGCACGACGGCCGGCTTGATGTGCTCCTGGTCGTACTGGTCCGTGTAGAACGGCTCTCGGAGCTCCTCTGGCACATTTTCTAGGCAGGGGCAGAGGGAAGCGCTTACAGGGTTTCCGTAAAGGAACAATGTGCCCAGTAATGACTGTGCCATCGACACTAAGGTTCCTCCTAAAATGACAGCGGCCATTCCTAAACCGAACAGACCTGGAGAGCACCTGAAATGGAGAGAAATCTGCCACAGACACCATTCCGAGTGTGTCCTAACGGGGACCACAGTGCCAGCAGGGGAAGGCTCTGGTCTAGTGGCTCCAGGGAAAGTCTCCCACACGCACACGCAAATACAGTGAGCCACACACACATACACACTGAGCTACACACAGACGCACATACCCAAGGTGCCAGATGCACACACACGGGGAGCCACACTCACACGCAATACAGTGAGCCACACGCGCGCACACAGTGAACCGCACGCGTGCGCACACATACACGGTGAGCCGGAAGACTGCACAGGACTTCAGTGACTTCCCTCCCATGTACGCAGTCAACCGGGAGATGCAGGCACAGCTCACACAGGGGACTGAGGCCTCACCCGAGAAGCCTCAAACCCCTGCACAGCTCGCCTGGGAATCTCCACCTGCCCACGGCCACGCCCATCCTACCCACTGACCCACTCAGCGGGCACAGAGGGCAGCTTCCACACCACACAGACAGGACACACTGTTTTCTTGCCGTCTCTACTCTGTCGCTGCTCCCCCCGCCCCCAACTGGCCCCATGCTTTATAGCAAAGCCAGGACGAGAGCCAGGGCTGTCCCCACAGGGACCGGCGGGCATCCGGGCTCGAGGTCGCGGCCCGCCCTCTCCGGGAGGGTGAGGGTCCTGAACGGGCAGCTCGAACGTCAGGTCAGTGACGCACAGAACGAATCGAGGCCTTTCCATGACAGCTGACGAGGGACCGTGAGTGTCGAAGGAGAGCCACACGGTGAGCGATGCTCGGGCAGTCCCCTGGGAGTCAGGACTGGCAGCGGGCAATCAGAGCCGCAGCTCACAGCGGCGAGGTCGCGAAGGGAGAGGCCGTGGGCAGGGGATGCAGCGTGCACACCCGGGTGGAAAGATCCACCGCAGCTGGGGACCATGCAGGACTCTGGAAGGAGGTCAAGAGTAGCTGGAGCAATCTGGGATGTGGGGGAGATCTAAAAATATCCTCCCATTTAATAATTGAAAGCACTCTCCTCCCCACAGCTGCATTAACCAGCGGCGAGCCGGCTGCCGGGCAGGGCACACCAGCTCACTGGGAACCACAGAAGGCGTGTGTGCGTGGGGACTCGCCTAACCCAGCACCCCAGGAGCTGAGGGGCCCCCTAACCCAGCACCCCAGGAGCTGAGGGACCTGCCTAACCCAGCACCCCAGGAGCTGAGGGACCTGCCTAACCCAGCACCCCAGGAGCTGAGGGGCCCCCTAATGCAGCACCCCAGGAGCTGAGGGGCCCCCTAACCCAGCACCCCAGGAGCTGAGGGACCTGCCTAACCCAGCACCCCAGGAGCTGAGGGGCCCCCTAAAAGACTGCTCGTTAGCAGGGTCACGAACTTCCCCCTCGCCTGTCACCCCTGTGCATTCACCCAGTTAGTGGCTGCTTTCCCATCCTGTGCCCACACCTGACCGTTTCCGAGGGCCCGTCTACCAATCCCCCTCCCACCCCAGGTACAAGGTGAGCTTCAAGCCTCCCACAGCCAGGGGAGCCAAGGGCCCACAGCGTAAACACGGCAGAAAGAGACCATTCCACCCCAAAGAACAGGTCCCTTTACATATATACACTTTTTTTTTTTACTGATCTCAGAGAGGAAGGGAGAGGGAGAGAGAGACATCCATGATGAGAGAGAATCACTCATCGGCTGTCTCCTGCACCCCCACCCTGGGGATGGAGCCCGCAACCCAACATGTGCCCTGACTGGGAACTGAACTGTGATCTCCTGGTTCACAGGTCGATGCTCAACCACTGGGCCACCCGGCCGGGCCCAAACAGGTCGCTTTAACACCAGGTCCTTCACGAACTATATGCTTCAGAGGCAACTGGGGAAACATCTCATTTCTACCAACAGTGCAGGCTCCGTTTCTTAAGAACAGTTTGGACTTGTGTCACATTTTGAAACCAATGAACCGAAACGGCACGTTAGGAGATAAACAGGCGTCGGCGATAAGAGGTTTCGCCCTCTCCCCAGCGTGCGGCCCAGATAAGAGGGACTCGGGGAGCGGCGTGTGAAGCTCTCTGAGGCTGCCAGGGGCGCGGGCGGGTGTTCCTTGTGCACCAGCCTCAGCACACCCCCCCCACGGGGTCATCACACTTCCCAGATCTGAGCCTGGAAGCCGCCATCACCTGAAGGGCCTGAGGGACGGGGACGGGGAGTGCTGCTCAAGGCGATTGCCATCGTTTCCCATGAAGCTGGCGAGCTGCCCGCTGCCTCCATGTGCCAGGGCACGCGAGGTTCCTGAGAGGTGAAGGCTCCCGGCCACTCACCTCGGCCACATATCACCTCCAAAGCCACACCTCAGGCCTCTTCGCCCACATTCCCTGCCATGGAGGTGGCACCAGCCGTGGGAACGATGGGGGCACTGGACTTAAAGAGACGAGTCCTGACTTGGCCGGTGTGGCTCAGTGGATAGAGCGTCGGCCTGTGGACTGGAGGGTCGACTGGTTCGATTCCGGTCAAGGGCACGTGCCCAGGTTGTGGGCTTGATCCCCAGTAGGGAGCGTGCAAGAGGCAGCTGATCCACGATTTTCTCTCATCATTGATGCTTCTCTCCCTCCCTCCTTCTCTGAAATCATTTTTTTTAAAAAAAAGATGAGTCTTTGTTCACCCACGTCCTTGGTAGGGGGTCTGAGTCCCCAGCTCCACAGATGTGCCTGCGACCCGCCTCGACTCCAGCGCCCTCCCCCTGCCTGGGCCCGAGGCCGCGCCTTCTGCTGCTACAGCGCCAGCTCTCCCCTCCGTGCCCAGGTTGTGGGCTTGATCCCCAATAGGGAGCGTGCAGGAGGCAGCTGATCCACGATTCTCTCTCATCATTGATGCTTCTCTCCCTCCCTCCCTCTCTGAAATCATTTAAAAAAAAAAAAAGATGAGTCTTTGTTCACCCACGTCCTTGGTAGGGGGTCTGAGTCCCCAGCTCCACAGATGTGCCTGCGACCCCCCTCGACTCCAGCGCCCACCCCTGCCTGGGCCCAACGCCGCGTCTGCTGCTGCTACAGCGCCAGCTCTCCCCTCTGCGTGCACACAGGCCGCCCCTTCAGCCCTGCTCCTCCTCCAACCTTCACGCGGGGGCTCTTTCCACGCAGACTCATGAGTGTCACCTCCTCAGGCACGGCCCTGACCCCCGGGGCCACTCATTCTCTACCGGACAGTTACTCCCTACAACACCGAGGGGCCTCAGGACAGCAGACGTCTCTGTCCAGTGTCCTGGCGCCACCGCGGCCCCCGGACAGTCACCCAGGGCGGCGTCTTCAGAGCAGATGCCAGGGAAGAGTTCACTCCCTCCTTCCCCATCACATGCGGGCGGGCGAGGTGCTGGGCCGCATTCCTCAGCTCACAGTCCGCCCTCTCCCGTGACACACCTCCCGCCCTCTCATCTCTTCACAGGGAGCCTCAACTCCACCCGGGAGCGGGCTTCTCCCTGACAAGGGGTCACACAGAGGAGGG